TTTCTCCAGCCCCACCTACTGTACCACAGCTACTATTACCAACTCAGTTGAAATACATTGTAGTGAACAAACAAATAGAGGCCCTAGGAATACAGATTTTTTATTTTGGGTAGTTGTTTCACGTGGGCTCGGATTTGAACTCCCAAGTGCAGGTTCGTGCCACCTGCTCTGGGCAGTAGGTGCAGTGTACCTGCTACAGCTCTGTCTGAAATTCAGAGGGACAGGGCAAGGTGGTCCTTTCCCAGGTGTTGCTCACACCCTGAGGGCTCTGAATCCTCTTTTAGGTCATATCTCTCCACCACATACGGTCAACCTGCAGCAGGCTGTTCTTAGGTGATGCTGCTCTGTGCCTAAAATCAGGAGACAGACTAGACTTGTTTCTGAGCACCCTGAGGCTCTAGGGTTTGACTAAGTCAAACTTCAGAAATCCCTGGTCAGGCAGTCTAACACAGGTTGTGGTAAAATTTAGTATGCAGACCCTCACCTGCCCTGCCTGTGTGGTTCATGGGCTGGCTGTGGGGTTTAGCAAACAAGTATTTCTAATGCATTTTGGGATCTTTGCCTGGATGATGCTCCAGGAATCCATGAGATTGTTATCCAGATGCAGAAAGCCCTAGATACTGTTACCTTTCCACTGAAGAATGGGTCTAATAAAACCGAATTTAATGGAGTGCTGTGTAATCAGACTTTGTCCTAAGGGCTCTGTGATATCTTGTGTGATTTCATTTTCATTATGAAGAAGTATTGATCCATGCTTTGCATTGGGTCTGCCAGCACAGAAAGTGCAGAGCATCCTGGAGCCCAGGGAGGACATTCCAGTGGGCTGCTGAGCTCTGCTCTGAGAGCAAAACCCTTTCCAGGTAAAATCAACGTGTGGAGCAGTTTTGTCAGTTTTCTGAAGCAGCTTTGGTGAAGTGCTCTGCTTTGGCCAGCTCAGCGTGGATTTTAACCTTGAGAGGGATGCAGACAGGTGCATTTGCATGGGAATGAGTGCTTTTCAGCTGTTGGTGTCCCCTTTGTGTGTGGCTTGGGAGAGGAGACTGAAGGGATGGTCCTTGCCATGGCTTTGTACTTCCATCAGCCACATCCCTGGGTGGACAGTGTGGGTCTGAGGGCAGTCTGGGCAGGGCTGAGGTCTGCCTGCTTTGTGGCTCTTTCTGTACTGTCACAAGCAAAAAAACCAACTCCTTGCTTTGTCCAGTCTCTTTGAGCAGGACACAGAGTAGCTGGAAGTTCCCTCAAAGGCATGGATTCAGCTTAGGGGTCCCAGTTCCCCATGAAGGGAACTAAGGGGGGGGTTGTGTGTTGGTCTAAAAGAAAAATAATCCCCAAATCCTCATGGAGCAAGTTTAGGTGCAGTGATACAGATCATTACTTTGCCTATGTTTCTTTAAAGCATGTTTAGGGATTTTATTCAGAAAGTGCTTTTCCTTCTCTGCTGGGCCTGATGCAGCCCTGCTCCTGTTTGGGAGTGGCTGTGTCACAACGTGTCCTTAATCCCAAGGACAGGATAAGTGTTTCTGGGACCTCTGGGCCTGGCTTCCAGTGAAGCAGTTCTAACCAGGCTGCCTTTCCTACCTGCTGCTCTTACATCTACAGAGGATGAAACTTGCTCCCAGATGCTTCAGGCTGGTGAAATTAGAGGGTTAGTTTATGCTGGTGATTGTGTTAGACTGACTGTGGCTGTCACCTGCTCCCCTTGGGGTGGCTCTGTGGGCTCTGTGCTCCTGGTGCCATTCTGTGCAGTCATTAGCAGTCTGGAGTGTGTCATTAGTGGTAGGCTTTTATTTCTAAGATGCTTAGCTCTCCCTCTGGAGTTCTGCAGGGATAACACCATCTTTTCCTCTGTGTCTTGTGCTGGAAATGCAGATCATGCTGGTTTAGCAAGGACCTTTCCCACAAGGCAGCTCTGCCCCTGGTCTCCTTTTGCAGCATGTGGCACTGGTGTGTGTCACTGTGGGCACGTCCTGCTGCTTGGCCAGGCAGCCTTTGGCCAGCCCTGCTGAATTAATTGATCCCTGCTCTTCTCCCTGCAATGTCTATCTGCATGAGATCTGGACTTGCAGCAGAAGTTGGTGGGTTGGAAAGTTCTCCAAGCTTAGTTGTGCTGGTGTCCTGCAGGTGAGCGTTCCTGCTTCCTTCCTGCAGCTCCCAAACAAGCCAGGTTTTGTCTGCTGCCTGCAAGTGGACTTGGGCATGATTTTGAGGGTATCTCTTGCTCTGTATTGTACTGAACAGTACCAGTGGCAAGACACAGCACAGGATAAGCCTGAGCAGTTTGAAGGCCAAAGCCCGTTTTGGAAAGCTGGGCAGGGGAGGATGCCCATGGCAGCTGGCAGGCTGGGACTTTAAGAATTCCATTTCTTCAGAGCAGAAAAAGGATTTCAGGTTGCCCTCATCAGGTTGGCAGCTCCACACTGAATCATTTCTTGGCAGATATGAGCACTTGCTCTTACAGTTTTTATAGCTGTGATGTTCATTTACACCAGCTGGTGCTCAGTGCACAGTCCCTGTCCTTCTCTCTTCCTGGCTATTGCCTCTGCACAAGGCAGCTGGATAGGGAAGGGGATTTGGAGATAGCAGAAGCCTTTTGAGCCAGCTGGCACAAGACTTCCATTACTGTCACTCAAAGCAGCACAGTGTGTGTGTTGGACACTGCTCCCAGAACCACCACTCCGACCTGCCCAGTCACTTCCCCTCTGCATCTGTCCCCTTCCTGTCCCAGTTTAAATAATAAGGTGTGCAGAAGTGCCTGGGACATGGCACTGCAGAGCCTTGAGACATGTCAGGCTCACTCCTGAGAGCACAGCCTGGGCTCCTCAGCCCCAAAGGTGCCTGTGCTGATTTTCTCCTCCGGGCAGTTGAGGTCAGACCGTCGCTGTCCCCAGCGCTCATGTCGAGCACGTGGATGTTCTGGTCTGGGAAACCCAAATATTCCTTGGCCAAATGAGCCATTGTTTGATGGCTTTGATTTTTGCAAAAGGTGTGTCTCATTTCTTTGCTCAGCGCTGATATTGTTCCTGTGCCCCACAGGCAGCACCTGCTGGAGACGGGCACTGAGCACACACAGGGCAGCTGGCAAACTGTGTTCCTCTGGTGTTCCTCTGCTTCATCAGGCTGTGCAGGGACAGGGAATGCACTTCACAAAATAAATAGTTATATGGTAGGGAAAATGGTTTGTGGTTTTGTTTTGCTTGGTTTTTTTTTTTTTACTTTCCTCTGTGGAAAGCCTGGAGTACCTGCTTGCCTAGTATAATTCCCTCAGTTTTCACAGATCCAGCTCTGGGATGTACTTGTATGACCCACATATATTTGTAGCCTCTTTTTTTTTTTTTTTTTAGAGGCTTTGGGAATCTTACTCCTGTGGTAAGATAACAGACACCTGTCTGAAAGGCAGCTCATTTCCTGAAGGAAAACTTCACTCCCCCCTCACTATTTTTTTTTTTTGCTCTCCCTATATTACCATAATGAAATGTCAGCTTTGCTGCTGAGCAGATGTCTCCTCCTAATTACTGTTGTTGCAGGGTTCCAGTGTTTATCCTGACTGTCTAGCCAGGCTGTTACAGCATTAACTGGCTCACATCACAGCCTGGCCACGCAGTTGCTGCACATCTGGAAGAGGATGGAAGTGCTGGTGCTCTCCAGCAAGTTTTTGTCTGCTGGGTCTCTTTAATGTGCCAAGGACAGCATCCCCCAACACTGCTTTAAACTAAGAGTGGTCTTTGCAGAAAAAATATCTGCAAGTGTGACTTCCCTTCCCCAAGCATGGCCTGGTGGAAAGTTGGCTTGAAAAGAGCAGATAGTTCAGTGAGGTTTGTTCTTTCTTGTTCCTAACACACAAACTGGGGTGCTTTGTAGGGCAGGCTGCCTTTGTGGCAGTGCATGGACCAGGTCTGTAAAAGCAGGAAAGGGTTGGACCAGCATTTTCCTCCACCCAGTTATGTATTTCCTAGGAGATATGAAAAGAGCTCATGGGGAGGTATAAAAACAAATGTGCTCTATTTGCAAGAAGGAAATGTGAAAACAGTGCTTGGGGCCAGGGGAGGAGGGAGGCTGAGAGGTCCCAGTCCCCTGGGAAGGGCAGAACTGGAGAATTTCCTCTCCCATTCAGTGAAGTCTCTTGTGTTTTCTCCAGTTCTGCTTTTGGGGTCATTTTATGTTCTGAAAGTTGGGGGGTTTATTTTTAAAGTTGTTCTCCAAGTTCCTGAGAAATCAGCCACTTTCCTAGAACTCCCTGCCTCACTCAGTGGCCTGGAAATGTCTGTCTTGCAACTGCAGTATCACACGAGAGGGGGGTTTTTGTTGTTGTTTGCAGTGCATCTCAACCTCCAAGCTCTTTGCAAGGGTTTGTAATTCTTGGGCTCCATTACAAAGCTTGGTTAGGTAGAGAGCACCTTCTCAGGGTGCTGGCACCAAGCAGCTGGTGATTGCTGCAAGGTTGGAGCTCCATTATTCCATCTTCTGGGCTGGAAATAGCCACTGATTTCTGAGCTGTTGGCTGGACTTGGCACTCAGCTGCTTGTTGCCTGTTTCATTCTACCTATGGCTCTGCCCCTTTTGATCAGCTTTGCAGCACTACAGTTTCAAAACAAATAAATTAAAAATGAACCTCTTTATTTGGAACCTATAAACCTTTAATACAGCAAGTTGCCCAACACATCCCCTGGTATGATAAGGCCAAGACAAATCCACAGGATTTGAGTGGTTTCCCTCTCCAGCAGCTCTGCTTGGTCCCACTGGTTGAGCTTTCTCTGAGTTCATGTCTGTCCTCTGCTAAATGCCTGGTGACAGATGGATTTCTGAGAGCTGTGTCCCAGTGAGGCACACAAAAGAAATGATTGTAAGGAAATGGCATTTCTTCTGCATTATATTGTGTCTCCAGCAGCAGCTTGGAGTGGGGTGCCTGAGCTTGCACCTTTGTGTTCATCCTCCTGGAATGGTTTTCCCCAGGTGTGTTGATGCCATGGCAGACCATGCTCCTGTTTTGGGTTTTTTTTCAGTGCACTACCAGAAGATCATCCACCGGGACATCAAACCTTCCAACTTGCTCTTAGGGGATGATGGGCACATCAAAATCGCTGATTTTGGAGTCAGCAATCAGTTTGAAGGGAATGATGCCCAGCTCTCCAGCACGGCAGGGACACCAGCCTTCATGGCACCCGAGGCCATCTCACAGACTGGCAAGAGTTTCAGTGGAAAGGTGGGTCTTTGCTCACAGCTGGTGCCTCCTGGGACCCCCAGGCATGGCACAAAGGGCAGCACCACACCTGCATCCTCTGCTGTTGCCCACCCAGCGATTCTGGTGCAAATGAGGGTTGTTCTTTAGTAAAACTGAAGCTCTAATTCTGTCCAGTCCTGGCAAAACTCACATGGGTCGTTCTGGGCAGTGGGCAGACACTTTGCTCTGGGTTCCTGCCCAGGCAGCAGCTATTTCCCTACCCAAAGGGAAGGGAGGAAACTCTTGGTTCCCTTCCAAAATAATCAAGAGGCACAGGGGGCTGCTGGGCACCAAGGTCATATCTTGATTCCCTGGAAGGCACTGCCAAGGGTGGTAATGCAGTCATGGGGTAGGCTCTAATGGGGATTTTTTGCCTGGAAGGGTGGTAATGCAGACATGGGATAGGCTCTAATGGGGATTTTTTGCCTGGAAGACTTCTGAGATTCAGCCCTGAATGGTGTAATTTCCTGTAAGAAGGGGCTGCTTTCTGGTCACAGTCCTCTACAGCAAGGACAGGGAAGCAGTGCCTGGGCCAGCACAGTCCTCATTCCCTGGGTGTGCTACTGATGAGCCCAACTTCAAAGAGACCCTGCACAGTGACATAAAAACTGCTAAATCCATACAAATAGTGTTCAGTGAATCAGTGGGAAAATCCAGCTCATTCAAATCATCTATGATGCATCTCCTTGACTGCCTGTACCTGCTTTTTTTCAGGCACTTGATGTCTGGGCCATGGGGATCACCCTGTACTGCTTTGTTTATGGGAAGGTAAGCTGGCTCTCAGCTGCTGGAGCCCTGCATGGCAGTCAGTGTCTGTCTGCCTGGCTTTTGACTCATTCCTTTCCAAATAAAGGCAAGTATTAGAAACAAAGACCTACGTTCTGCAAGCTCCCAGATCCCCTTGTGGATGAGAAGGGGCTGACATTGTGATCTGTGGAAAGGATCATTTCCTGTGTTGGTCCTTGTTTGCAGAGACATTGTTCGTGCTACAAACCCAGAGCAGCATCAACAGCACCAACAACAGTTCGTGGGGGGCATTATCCACATTGCCTGTATTTAGAAATGAGCCATTTATTTAGAAATTCTCTGTTTAGAAATTTAGGCAGAGCATGGAGGGAGGCACAGGATTGATCCCAAGCTGCTGCAGCACTTTAGCAAACCAGATTACAGAAAGCTCTGCCTGCCAGAGCTGAGTTGGGCCAGATGGAGTCCAGTTTGGCAAGGCCAGGTCTTCAGAGCTGCCTTCTGCAAACTGCATGTCCTGTCATGGCTTTTCCCTTGCCTGTGGCCAGAGCCCCCTTCTCCCACCCACACTCTCCTAGCAGGTATGTGCAGTCTCTGTGTGCAGGAATATTATCTGGACTCCTGCCCAAGCCCAGACCACTGCAGATGCCACCACACAGGCATCAGGCAGCCAGCTCAGGGGTAAGAAGTGGCCAAGGAAGATGGCAGAGCCAGTTCATGGTCACCAGGCAGGCTGGATTAAGGAGGATATCCCAGTCCATTTATATATTCCCTAAATCCCTCTGCTGTTCTTCTGCATTTATTTTTTAATAAGGAACAAATCAATTTATTGGGGGGGGGAAAGATTTTATTTATTTCCATCTCTGTGTAAAATCAAGGGATTATAGGGAGTGCACTTGTGTTACATGAATGACAAATGCCTGAGTTGTGCCAGGACCTCTGACAACTGGAAAATCTCTTGTTTGTTTTACAGTGCCCTTTTATAGATGAATACATTCTGGGTCTTCATAACAGGATCAAGACCAAGCCTGTGGAGTTCCCAGAAGAGTGAGTAAACTTTACTCTGCTACTGTAAAATAAAGTTCAGTTTTCAGCATTATTCTCTGTGCAGCCCAAATGCCAGTGGGTCACCACGGAGGGACAGCCATGGGTGGGTGAGAGGTGCTCTGTGTTCTCCTGGGTCCTTCACGTGGGTTTTGTGCTGGTGATGTTGTTGAGGTGTTACAGCTGCCTCTGCTGATCCTCTGTCCTTGTTGTGCAGGCAGGGACTAAAGGAAATGGCTCTTGAAATCTTTGGAAGTGAAGGGATTTCTTTATGGGTCTAAGAAGTTCTGACCCAGGTGGTTTGGCTGGGGGTTTGTGTTTCTCCCCATGTGGCAGCCTCTGGAATGATTCAGTGTATTCATTTTCAAAAGCAGTGTGGTTATAGACCTCAGTCTTGGTCTGAGTAAATGCATCCCTCTTCTTCTGTGGACTTACCTTGGAGCTGGGAGAAGTGTCTGATGGAAGGATGCTTGTCCCAAGATACACAACCACAGCTTGGTGAATCCCACTCCTCTGCCTCCTCCAACACATCACAGGAAAACATGGGTTTGTCCTTTGTGCAGGTGATTAATTTGTTTCTCCTGGTTGCTGTCAGATGAAGTAGCCAAAGCTGGGCTCTTTGTTTTCCCTCCAAAATCAGCACAGTAGTCAGCCAAAAAAATTTTTACCTTCTTGACCCAACTGCTCATTCTAATGAAAACATACATATAAAATTACTTGATTTCAAGCACAAAGAAATTAAAGCTCTAATGAAAGGCACATCTGGTATTAGAGAGGAAGGCAGGGATGTTGTCAAGCAGCCTGTGATACGATGGTGGATGGTATCCACCATCCATTACATGAGTTTTGTGAGATGCTCACTGAATTTTCAAACACTACAGTGAAGGGCTGAGCCTCTGCCTTGGCAGTCCCAGGCTCTGAGTCTGCAGAAGGTCCTCAGCCTGCCCTGTTTTAGTCATCTGACTCATGCCCTGGGCTCCATGGGCTGCATTAATTACCTCTGCATTGAGGGAAGCACAGCCACTGCAGAAAGCTCAGCCAGGGCCATCTCTGCCCTGGGTGATGAAACATCTCCAAGGACCTGGGCCACAAGGTCAGCCTCTTGTTAGCAGACACAGCCCCCAGTCCTGGGTGTGGAGGGCTCTGACAGGACCAGGTGACAAGGATTCAGGCATCAGGAGCACAAAGGCTGGTCGTGCTCCATTGCCATGTTCCCACCAGTTGCTCTGCAGATGGGGCAGGACTTTGTCTTGACAGCACTGCAGCAAAATGTTTCTGTTTCCCTGGCAGCCTTCTCCCCTTGCTCGGGTCCTGGCAAAACACCCACCCTCTCTCAGCCACCCTGTATTTGGGTTAGCAGTCAGCTCACAAGTGACTGTTCCCACCTGCCTCTGCAGTAAGTTATTAACATTTAATGGGCTGACTGGGCTGTGCTGAGATCCTTTCCTTCATTCAGGCATTTCCTTCAGCGATAACTGGGCTGCATGATTTATGTGGATTCCTCAGTGACCTGCTCTCCCAGTCTAAAAAAAGCTGTACCCCTGGTTAGGTTGTTGGAACAGAGGGTTACTGGGTGTTGACAGCTGTCCAAACCACATCTATTTGTTAGATAAAAGCAACAGAAATGCACATGAAGCTGGAATTCACTGGAGTGGATCCACCCTGACCTCCCACAGAATTAGCACCTCGCTATAGTTAGGAGTATTTTGGTTTCAATGTGTTTCACCATGGCTACAAAAGACACATTCCTGTTTGCAGACAGCCCATGGAAACCCATTGCCTGTTTCCTGACAGGCTGTAGGACAGACGGAGCTGAAGGTACCGGCGTCACCGTCCCGTCCCTTCCCTTAGAGACGCTGGGATAAATATTTATTGCACTGCAGTTCTCATTCATGTCACTGAGCCCTTGGCGTGACACGAGGTAAATGGGCTTGGCTCACACCCTGAGGATCCTGGCATGACTGAAAAACAAGCTGGAGCAGTTTCTGTTTAGACATGTATTAAGAGAGTCAGAAGCTCTGCACAGTCCCTCCTGGTGAAGTCCAGGACAGTGTTCTCTGACCTGCAGGCACCCTGTAAAGTGATCTGTGGTGCTGGCAGCCCTCCCAAATGGGCACTGAGCTCTGTGGTGCTTGGCATTTTCCTGAGAGCTGTTACAGGACCATGGCTGTGAGAAATCCCAGATAGCTCAGGCTTTTCAGGTGAAAAATGCCATCAGGTTCAGCGTGCACCCTACCCTGGCACACTGGAGAGGGGAAATCAGGCACAGGGTGATGTGATCTGTTGCATGGCCATAACCCACCTGACACTCTGTGATCCTGTTTACAGGGCTTTTCCTTATGACATTAATCCTGTGTTGCACAGAAATCAGTCTGGTGCCCAGAAATGTTGGGTGATTATATGTTCTATTTTTTGTATCTTAAAGAAAGCTGTTGACAGTTTGGCACAGAACTGATGTTAAGTATTTTTAAAGCACCATCTCACCTGCATTGGTGTGGTCTCTGGGAGGAGCCTGTTTATTCTGACCTGCTAAATGCACTGTCACTGCCCATTGCTGTTCCTCTGTACCTGGAGCTCATCTCAAGAGCAGCACCATTCTTCCCACTCCCACCTAAATTGTCACCCGAGGACTCATCCTGTCATTCCTCTTGTCTGGGCTGTATTGCCTGTGTACTGCACGCCCTTGGGGCAACTCTGAATGTGGTTAGACTTTAAACTGAACCCACTTTCTGCCCCTTCCCACTGAATGACCAGCATTTCTTTGGTTTTTTGGAAAGATCCTATAACCAAAGCCCATGTAAAGTATTCATAAATTATCAAACAGCAGCTCCGTTTTCATCAGATTAAAATATCCTTTGCTGTGATGTGGTTTTTGTTTTGGTTTGTGATAGTTTATTCCCTTCTCTGCTTGGGGCAATGCAGAGGAGGGGGGCACAGTACCTGGTCCTCACCAGTGTTTTCAGTCTCAAATCCAGCCCTGCTGGGCAGTGACGTTTTGTGCTGCCAAATTCCATCTCTGTGCAGTTCTTCAGGAGTCATTTGTGACACAGACTTTCAGCTGCCTAATGTGATTCTGTCACATGCTGGCATTTTAATGCAGCAGCACTTTGATCACGCAGATCTAGTGTGTTTGGAAGATGTTGCCTGTATCATTAACCACAGGAGTCATTGCAGCCTTTGGGCTTGAGGAACAAACTGCAGGACCAAGGGCTCCACGTGAACAGAGTGGCTTCTGAGTTCAGGCACTGTGGCATTTAGATCTTGGAAATAGTGTTAAAAATTATGTGTTTTTCTCTTACATCTGTTCATTCCCTCCTTTTGTTACTCCAAGGCTGAGCTGTACAGGTAGGAAATACAGAGTTACTGTCTGGCTGCCATCAGTGTTCATGGAAGCAATTTAATTAACACAGCCTGCAGGCTTAGCTGGGAATTTGAATATCATGCAGGGGAGGTTTCATCCAGCACACAGCTCCTCATGATGCAGGTTCAGCAAATCAAGCTCTGCCCTTCTTGATTTCTACAGTTCAACTTCAGTTCTGTTTTGTTGTCCCAGAATCTGCCCTCTGAAATTTCCCTGTGATGTGCTGACTTTAAAAATGTTCTTAGATCCATTCAGCTGATGTTTCCTTGTGCATTTTGAGAGAGTGCCTTTGTGTTAGTGGGCAGAACAGGATAACCAAGCTCTGTGACTGTGGTGCCCGAGGAGGAACCAAACCAACAAGACCTTCCTTTCTCAAGCCAGGTTTGCAGAGAAAATATCTCCTGAGTGGAGCAGGTTCCCTACCAAGTAACTGCAGTAAGAACTGGGCACGTCTTGAGCCCTTACAATTCCCCTGTTAACTGACTGCTGCTGTTTTCTTCACTCAGAGCACAGATAAGTGATGAACTCAAGGAACTGATGCTGCACATGCTCGATAAAAATCCAGAAACAAGGATAACAGTCCCTGAAATTAAGGTAAATTGGACTTTGATATTAGAGTTTTCAGTCTCAGCTGATTTTGTTGTTCCTGTGGTACCTTCTAATGAGGCAGAGCTGTTCCCAGTGTTTGTTTTGGGAGCTCTCCCTGGCACGCCGTGTCGCAAAGGGAGAGTGCTCATTTTGCAGCGTCCCACAGCTCTGTCGATGCTTCTTGCTTGGGGAATATTGACAAAAGCTTTCTTGTTTGCTTATTTAAATGAAAATTACTCAAAATCTGGCTGATCTCAGTGAATCCCTGGGAGAATCAACGCTGTCAGGGGGACTGTCACTGTGCTGGCAGTGTTGGACCTGTTACAGGGGCTGGATATGTGTTCCTCCTCTGGTCCTGGTGTGGTCAGTGGCCTCAAGGCAGAACATTGGTTTCTCTCACCATTACTTGGGAGATGCTTATTAATGGAAAGAATGAATAGGCCTGGCAGAGCACAGTGCTTCACAGGGTTTGGTTTTATTCTGGTTTTGCACGGGCTTGCTGTCCTCCTGTCACCCCTCGCTGAGGCCTCAGACCTGCTGGAGGATCTCAGGATTTCCAAAGGGATCCATCAGCATCCTCTGCAGGGCACACAACTCTTGTTTGCTTTGTCTTGGGCCAACACCAGCACGTTTGCCACCAAAGCTGACAATAGAAAGGTTAAGCTTCAAGAAAAAAAACAAAGTGATATCTCTTCCCTCCATGCCCAGTAGGTCACAGCCAGTGACGTGGGAAGTCCTTTGGAGCTGTATTTGTGGGATTTCACTTGACAGTTCTTGTAAGGCATTTCATGTGCATCCTATAAGATCCCTTGGGTAGAGGAGCAGAGCTGGGTACTGGCTCTTGTCCCTGGCCATGCACTGAAGGTGCTTGGTGTGCCTGGGGACTTGCCTTGGATGCTGACAGAGCACGTGTCCCCAGTGCCAGGCTGGGCTCTGGGCTCAGCCCATGCCCTTGGGCAGAGCTTTCCTCGTGTTCACAGCCAAGAAAACCATTCCATGAGAGAGAGCAGGAACAGGGGGGCTTTGCTCTGCTGCATATGAGAGAAAAAGATGAAAATGCTCTGGATAACTCGGGTTTTCAAAGTGTTTCAGACCTGATTCAGAGGGCACCGGGTTCCTTCGAGGTGCTGGTGGGTGGCAGTGGGTGTGACAGCACTGGGCATTAGGGGATGCCATCTGTCCAGGCACCAAAATCACAGTCACAGAATATGCTGAGTTGGAAGGGACCCACAAGGATCATTGACTCCAGCCCTTAGCCCTGCACAGACACCCCAACAATCCCACCCTGTCCCTGGGAGCGTTGTCCAAACACTCCTGGAGCTCTGGCAGCTTTGGGGCTGTGCCCACTGCCCTGGGGAGCCTGGTCAGTGCCCAACCACCCTCTGGGGGAAGAACCTTTTCCTAATATCCAACCTAAACCTCCCCTGACACAGCTCCAGCCATTCCCTGGGTGCTGTCCCTGGTCCCCACAGAGCAGAGCTCAGGACCTGCCCCTCCTTTGCCCCTCTCAAGGAAGCTGTGACCACGATGAGGTTTCCCCTTCCTTCTCCAGCTGAACACACCAAATGCCCTCAGCTGCTCCTCACACAGCTTCCCCTCAAGGCCCTTCCTCACCTTCATTGCCCTCCTTTGGACACTCTCTAATGGCTCAGTATCTTTCTTACGTTGCGGTGACCGAAATTCCCAGGGCAGCTGGTTGAAAAGCACTGCTGGGAGTGGAAAATGGAGCAAATGGAGCAGTACAGCTCAACCCTGTGCCCCATTTCCCTCCCACCCCACCATGACAGAGCTCTGGTGCGGGAGGCAGAGCCAGAGCTGTGTCTGTCCCTCCCCAGGTGCACCCTTGGCTGACCAGGGGTGGGGAGGAGCCGCTGCCGCTGGAGGAGGAGCACTGCTCCGTGGTGGAGGTGACCGAGGAGGAGGTGAAGAACTCGGTGAAGACCATCCCCAGTTTGCCAGCTGTGGTAGGTACAAACCACAGCCACGTCCTCTGCCCTGGGCAAGAGCGTGGGGCTTTGCTGAAGCCTTCAGCTGGTGGAGGAGGTTTGGAGAGGGGGCTTTGCTGAAGCCTTCAGCTGGTGGAGGAGGTTTGGAGAGGGGGGTTTTGCTGATGCCTTCAGCTGGTGGAGGAGGTTTGGAGAGGAGGCTTTGCTGAAGCCTTCAGCTGATGGAGGAGGTTTGGAGAGGGGGCTTTGCTGAAGCCTTCAGCTGGTGGAGGAGGTTTGGAGAGGGGACACATGGGCTGTTGGTGTGGGAAGCTTGGCCTTTCCACCCAGTGTGAACTTGTTGTGTCAGAGCACTGCAGCAGCCTGAGTGTCAAGTAGCTGTTCTGTGGGTTCCTTCACTTTGTGCTCTTTGCTGGTAACGCTGTTAAATGTCTGTTGAATTATTGAAGAAGCTGTTGTTACTCCTCTGAACTGCCTTCAAGGAGTCGGTCCTGCTGTTCTCACTGGTCTGCTTTTCTTCCTCCAAGATCCTGGTGAAGGCCATGCTAAGGAAACGCTCCTTTGGAAATCCCTTCGAGGTCCAGGCGAGGCGGGAGGAGAGATCCATGTCTGCCCCAGGGAATTTGCTGATGTAGGTATCCAGAGCCTTGCCTGGCAGAGCAAAGGTGTGTGGGGAGGGTGGAGGAGGCAGTTTGCAAATCTCTTCTGTAGCACTTAAGGACGAAACTCCCCTCTAAATCAAATACTGAAGATAAAATCTACCTCAAATCCTCTCAGGTTGAAATACAATGCATTAATACAGCCTAAAAGCTCTTTTTATAGATGCAGTTCTCTCTGTAAGATGGGTTTGGCCTAAACACATGTAAGGTGCTAAACTTGGGTCTGGTTTTTCACCTGTTAGTTGATAATATGCTGTGATCAAAGATCCATTAGAGACTGGTGAAGCAAAATAAGTTTAATTAGAGTCTAGTCTAGATACGTATTAGAGGGTTTAATTCTTCTCTTTTTTTTATGGACAACAGAAATGGTACCAGACAAGCAGTTTGTGTGCTTTTTAAACTCAAAATGAGACGATGGGGTTTGACTGTGGTCTGGGGCCCAAGCCTGGGCAGAGACACGTGGGCAGACAAAGAACACTTTGAAATTGCTTTTTCATTTGAGAGCACATTCAGTATTTTTTCACACTGACAGTTGTGAAATAGTGGAACATGTTGCAGCAGGATGTTTTGGAGGTGGGGTATAAATGGCTGTATTGGGATTAAAAAGGGAATAGACATATTAATGACTAATAGGTTCATCAGCAGCTTTTAAACGTGATGTTCTGTATGTACAGGGGTGAGGAGAGAATTCCTCTGCCCTTTCCTTGGTTCTTACTATTCCTCCCTCATTTTTATCACTGATTCCTTTCAGAGACAGGATTCTGAGCCATCAGTCCAGTAAGTACCAGCTGGACCATTAGCTTGATCTGAGACAATTAAAGTTCTCACCCCACAGGATCTGTAAGGCTTGGTTCACAACAAAGCTGCATCGTCCCAAAATGATGCTTTTCCACCCAAAATCCCAGCACCATGCCTGGCAGACTCCCCTGAGGGTGTGCTGATTCTCACTGCACCACTGACAGTGCAGTTGGAGGAGTCTCTCTCTGCCTCTCAGGTGTGTGGGGATTTGAGGGCTCAGCTCAATTAAGGATGATAATGCTTTAGGTCCCAGCTGTGTATTGGAGACTTCACTAAAGGCTCTGCCTTGGAGTCCAGGGCCTGACAGCACTTTAACATTTTAACACCCTGTACACGAGTGCTGCTGTGGGACATTTCTGGAGCGTGGCAGTCACAGCTCCTTTGCCAGCTTAGCACAAGGGATTTGTCCTCATTTGTTTCCCTTGGCTCATTGCCTTCCAAATTAGTTGTTGCTAATTGGACACACGTCCCTACCCGTATCTTCACTATCAGTCCTGGTCCCTGCATTGCATTACTCTGAGATGGGGAAACATTTACTAAATTTGAAGAAAAATGTATTTTATTCTTCCCAGTGTCCCAGACAGCTCACTCAGAGCAAGGCAGGATTTCTTCTTTTCAAACCCTGCCTGAACTGATATTTCAAGGTGATCACACTGAGCCTGTTTCCAAGAGGGACCTGTTCCCTCCCACCTTCACTTGAGATGCTTGAAAACCTGTGCCACCAACTACCCATCTGGTGGGAAAACTCCTTAACCCTGTGGCTGGTTCCTGCCTGGAGCTGGTGCTTTGTTATCTTCCCAGAATAAGTAAAGTTCATTTGATCTCACATAGCTGTGAAGCTTCTGATCAGCCACATAATCAGTGTCTAATCCTTTTTAAAATCATTTTAGGCCTTCAACATCAGCTGTAAAAGCCTCCACTTTTATTTCCCTCCTTTGTAAAGTTGCTGGTCTAATTCTTCTCAGCTTATACAAACCCAGCATCTTTCCCTGTCTCTGCTCATTCCAGCCCTGTGTTTTATTCAAGCTCCTTGTACAAACTAAAAGGGTTTTTTTTTAAAGTGTATAATTTCCACTTTTGTGCTGCTGTGTCCAGTGCCCTTAGTTTATAAAAACTCTTCAGACCAGGGATGAAGCTGTGGTCATGCTGGGCTGGCCTCTGCCCAGCCAGTGTAATGTCCAGAATTATTGTGAATGGCCTTTGAATGTGCCAGTTCTCCACTGCACTAATCCCTGCTCTTAATTTCTCAGTCTCATGCCATCAGTGCCAGTTTTTGGCAGTAACAGTTGACTTTATCCTGAATTAATTCATGCACAACTGGAGCTTTGAGAACCTGTCTCAAACCCCTTCTGTTTAAAAGGAAAACACTGGCCAAGTCTCTTCAACAAAGTGCGTTGTATATTAAACACTACAGCAGGGATGCTCCTTTTAAGGAATGTGGATTATTATTATTATTTCAAACTTTGGAAGATGCTTTACTGGCTGAATCTAATGAAAATTGCTTCAAATTTAAATAGATGTGTTGAATCTAATGACATTAATTGTAAGTGAACTGAGTCTAAATGGGAATGTTCGTTGTTCAGTGAGTTATGTCTTGATTACAGTGTTATTTCCACAGGGACAAACAGAGTAGACACTAAGCTCATCCAGTCCTTAATTCATAGTGGTTGTTCCCTAGAAAAACACCCCTTAATACACATATGAAGTATAATATCAGTGCCAGTGTTATGAATAGCACTGTGGTAGTTAAAATAAATTTCAAGTGAGTCGACGTTGTTATAAATTTTTAGGACCTTGCAGGAACAGAGAATAATTGTTGTAGTAAAGGCTCTGCAGGGTTTCTGCATGTCCAGCACCCTTGCAGCTGGACAGGGGACCCCAGAAGTGGGAGCTGGCAGAAGAGCAGTGCCTGCAGCCATCACTGCTCTCTGGACGTGTGGTTGCCCACGAGGGGCTGAGACAAAAATGAGCCACACATTCCCAAGCTCTCCTCCCCAGAGCTCCTCCTCCCCAGTGGCAGTGTCTTTAGAGAGAGCTAAATCAGCTTTTGTAATTGCATCTCCTTCTAGTTTATAGGTAGGAAACAACTTGTTGTGTTGCTACGGAAGAGAAAAAGAAAAGCAATTAGAAAACTCTAGTTTTGCATTCAATTTGTTTAATTGGGCTGCATGGGAAATTGCTGGAGCCCCACTCACTGCTGCCTCAAGCATCTTATATCTGCGCCCATTCTGAGGATGTATTTTGCAGGAAATCCTCTGGCAGCTGAGCCTGCTTTCTGGCATTTGATGCCTAATTGATGATTCTTAAAATGGAGCTGTCCTTCATGCTCACTCTTGGCGATTTGGAGAGGAAGAAGCTGAATCATGTGGCTGAATCTTTGTTCATTTCTCCCTGCATTACCTACACAGTGCTCTGTTGCTGGGAATGCTTCATGCCATAGCAGGGGGGCTTTCATGTTGGTAGCCTTGGTTCCTTTAGAGGACACCATTAAGACACCCGTGATTTGAAACAGTTCTTAAGTTAATACTGGGAGGAGAGAAGGCTTTTTTAGCACTCCTTAGACCTGGAGGAAGCAAACCCTCTCCTGGCTGTTATTTATTGCTCTGTTTATCAGCACTGAACAGTTTAAGAGGCAGCTGTTAAGTGCAGGCACACTCAGCAGGTGGAGAGGAACTGAGATGAAGATGCCCCCGTTTAGCAGTTCTTGTTTTGTACACCCAGAGTTGTGTGAGTGCTGCCAGCTGTCACCTCACCCTGTCACCAGGGTGGTGTCCAGGTGTCCCTGGATCCTGCCTTTCATGCAGGATCTCCCAGAGAGGCAGTGATTCATGGAGCCCTGCAGGTCCTGCAGACTGTGGCCAGGTTCAAGCCCATCACTAACAGTGGCTGCAGAATTCTTTCTAATTTTTCCAGTTTCACAGTATATTTTTTTTTTAAGCCCAGCTGTTCACAGCTGAGTTCTGGGTTTGTGTTTGCTGCATTTCTTCTGCCTGCTCCAGATTTCTCCTAATTGAGTCAGCACTGGCTTCACCACATTTTATTGCTCTCATTAATTGCAGCTACTACCTATCAAATTAATTGCTGTGTTTTGACAGACCCAATTTACTTTCCCATTATGGCTGCTATTGCTATTGATGAAATGTGGTTGTCAGCTCCTATATGGGGGATCAGTTGATATTTAAAAAGCCTACTCTGTTTCCAGCCTTTCCAGAAAGAGAGCAAAATAGCCATCGCTGCCCTTAAGGCCATATTATCCATGTAAGGTAGGCATGAGGAAGCCAAGGGGGAAAAGGAGGTAAAAAAAGCATCTGACCCAGGTCTCCAAGCAGAAACAGCTTCTCCCAAAGCAGCCTGGAGGCACCTGCCTTGCAGGGACTTTGTGCTGAGAAAGTTCCAGGGCTCAGTGCCATAGGGCTGCTCAAAAATAGGCTGCAGAGGCTCTCCTCGGTCAGCCAAGATTACAGCATCAGCTTTGACAAGGGAAGAACTGCAGGGTGGGTTTAAATTTGCCAGATGTTTCCACTAAAGGTGCTCCCTTGGTCTCTGTTGGTGCTCGGTGTCTGTCTCTCCAGTCCCGGGGAGATTTCGGGTAGGGACCACGTCGATGCTGTCAGACAGAGTGAAACCCAACCAGAAACCTTACCAGTTTTCACTGCAGAGAGAACTGCATGTCTTGTGGGAAGAGCCATGCCCCACATGCAGGTAGGTGTCCTCACGGGACCAAGGCTGTGGCACAGGATTTTCCTCTGGAATGACCCACCATTGGCAGGTCCCTCCAGCGAGGGCCCCACTGCTCCTGTGGCTCTGCCCCACTGCATTAGTGGTGATGCCAGGCCATGATAGGATACAAAACCTCCAGAGGAGCCAAATTACATGGCCCAGGGACATCAGCAGTGTGCTGGAAGCTGTCTGGAGCTTTCAGCAGTGGTAGGGGCTGGAGTGGGTTTGTACCAGTGCCTGTCCTCATCTGTCCTTCAGGCTGCAAGTGAATGTGGCTGGTGCTCCTTCCTCCATTCCACTCTGCTCACTGGGCTGGTTGAGACACAGAAATACAAGCTCCTTTGCCTGCTGCCATCATCTTCATGATCACTTTCTTCCTTTGTCTCATTGTTTTGCTCTCAGGGACAGATTCCTCTTAAACACATCCGTACATTTGCATCCATCTTTAAGGTAATTCCGTGTCTGTGTTTCCCCTGGGTGCTGTAGAAACCCCCTCAGCCTGTGTGTCCCCTCCTCAGCCTGTGTGATTTGCGTGGTAGTGAGAACATTTGGCTCCATCCTTCCTTCCTGTAGGAGGAGTTTTGCTGCACTCATTCTCTGTGTGTGACACTAATGTTTATGAATGCTCTTTATTATTATTACTATTTGTGATTCTTTGGCATTTCAACTGCTTTTAGGGAGGGAGGGGTGAAAAAAGCCAGGGGGGGTGTTAGCAGGAACTGGTGCTCAGCCCCACCTTTGTGGAGGGAATAGCTACAGAATTTGGGAAAGGCTGAGCTTTGGAATTTGGGCTCAGGTTTGTTATTTAGTGATGATGCAAAAGAAATAGAGGTGGAGCCATCTCTGCTCCACATGCTCCCCTGTGCTTCTGCCTCTGGTGCAGCCCTGAGAAGACTGAAATTGGTTGCTCCAGGTGACCACCCAACCTCACCTCAGCCAAGGCTTCATCAAATCGTGGTCATCTGTCCAACCACTTGCACAGACCCTTCTAGGAAGTGGTGGTGCCAGTTCATTCTGTTAAATAACAGAATAGCATTGATGCAAACCATGGCAAGCTGCTTACAAACATCTTGGTGTGAAGTCCCAGGATCCAGTGCTTAGGCAGGACACAGCCTCCAGCTGGGCCTGGAAAGATCTGGGCTGGGCTGAGAGGCTGGGAAAGAGCTGCACGGCTCTGAATACCTTTGGGAGCAGCTCTGGAGGCTCTGCCTGGCTCCTGGTTTATCACTCCAAGACAAATGGATGAGCTGGAGCCAGGATGTCGCCTGCTCTGAGTGAGGAAGGACTTGCAGAGATTCTCCAAAAATAGTTGGGAGAAGGCAGGGGAGGAGGATGGGGACTGACGTGGCACCAATGGGGACAGCTGGTGCCACTGCCTGCTGCTGCCTTCTCCGTGGGCAGGAGGGGACCTCAGCAGCCTGGATGGGGGCAGAGTGTTGGTATTTAGTGGGGGCTCAGTGGAGGAATTAAGCACTTGCCAGGGGGGTGTGTATATGCTGTGATTCAGTAGGTTGTCCCACTGCATCCCTGTCCTGTGTTTTGGAGGGAAGTGCTGTGAGGCTCATTCCCTGCTGGACACAGAACACCCTCAGTGTCTGTGATCTCCCTGCAGCTCCCGTGGTGAGCAGCCATGTCCTCTCCTGGATAATTGCACAGGTCAGGCTTTGCTCGCCTGTGGCTCAGAAAATGTAGCAGAAATACAGTGTTATTTCTTACAAAGAGTAATTTAAGGGAGATTCACATCCAGCCTCAGGCCTCACAGCATGAGCAAGGTTCCTGTGGAGCATTGGTGTCCTGGTCTCTGCTGCTCCACGGCAGCAGGTTTTTGGCTGGTGTTTGCACCGTGAGGGTCCTTTCACCCTGCCACAAGGGTTTGGAGAGGCAGGGGCTGCTCAGGGTGCTGAGGGAACATGGAACACACTCCAAGCAGGGAGCAGGAGCAGCAGGATATGCTGGGCTGTGCCAGAGAGCAGAGCCTCTGCTGCTAAATGTGGTGATCAGTCATTTAAAGAGGGTGATGACAGGCACTGAAGACAGAGCTGTTCCTCAGCCTCCCCTGCAGGGAAATGGTCCCCGGGTTCAAGGTCAGGTTTATTGCAGGGCTCTGCTGGAGCAGAGGGAAAAGGGAACGTGATTTTTTGATCGTTTCTGGTTTCTTCAAGAATTGTTTTAGCCCTGTGTGTCCTTTCAGTGTTGTTCCCAGACAGAGCTCCAAACCCACATTTTCCCAAATGCTGTGTGCTCCAGACACGTGCAGCAGTGCTGGTGCTCCACGGCAGAGCTGGCTTGTCCATGCAGATTCTCCTGCAGAATTCCCTGGAGCAGGTTGCCCAGGGAAGTTGTGGATGCCCCACCCTGGAAATGTTCAAGGCCAGGTTGGATGGGGCTCTGAGCAACCTGGTCTAGTTGAAGGTGTCCCTGCCCACAGCAGGGGGATTGGAACAAGATGAGCATTAAGGTCCCCCTTCCAACCCAAACCATTCCACAATTCTGTGATGCAGCCAGGCTGTCCTGAGGGAGGCTGGACACCCTGGGAGACACAGATTCTTAGAGTATCAACACCTCCTTGATGTTGTGGATATCTTCATGATGGAGAAATGGGGTTTTAGGTGAAGGCATCAGCCTGCCATTGGTCACTGCTGTGGGATGTTGTGGGTGGCCCCTGGAGATGTCCCCTTTTCTCCATCCAGTCCAGAGCAGTGACAGTTTTCTCTGGTCAAATCTTGGCCATGGGCTGTCTGTGGATGGCTGGGCTGGGTGGAGATGTTGCTCCTCAAGGATGCCCCAGAGTGCAGGTACAGCTCAAGCCTTCTACGTGAGAAAACATCAGAAATTAGGAACAGGAGGAAAAGGCCAAAGGTATCATGGTGAATGTGCAATGCAAGTAAGTTCCTTTGGTTATTAATTCTATGCCTGCTGCTCTCAGAATTTGGGTACTGCTGTTTTGGGGACCAGACAAACTCACAGAGGCTGAAATCACACAGTTTTTGTGTAGGACAAACTGAGCTCTGGTGGAAACATTTAGTTTTATTGCCATTTACAGCGGGGCTTTGGAGAAGCAGTTATGGGATGAAGCCATCCCTCTGATCCTTGTAAAAAAATCAGATTAAAGGAAAGCAAGCCAGAACTCTCCAAATACAAACTGGATAATTTGAAAACATTGCTGCTGGTCTGCAGGACTTTCCCCAAGAACCAGATACCTCCTTGTGATGCTGCAGCTGGAGGAGAGCATTCAGGGAAGTGCAAAGCTCAGTTTTTGGGGTGCAGAGACCAAGCAAGCATCCAGCCACAAGCTGCACATCACTGCAGGGATATTGCTGAGGTGTTTTTGCAGTACCAACACAACAGGCTGGCTCATTGCTATTCCCTCTTAATATTGATATTGCTGACTTGGGTTGGACAAAACACCCCCTGCCTTGCTCTGTGCCTGTAATCTCTTTGTTCCTTTGCCACTCCTGTAGCAAACAAGGGAGCAGAGAAGGAGCCAGGGACCCGGAGCTGCCCGACGTGTGTGAAGACGAAGCCACGTCCTGAGGCCGCCCGGCCGGTCACGCACGTGCTGCTGCTGTTGTGCCCATCGTGGTGTTGTGTAGCACCATCGCCCTCATCACCCCCTCTGGGGCCTGCAAAGCAAAAGAAACACCACCAAACAAAAGCCACCAAAACGGGACCCACCCAGAAAACCAGGCAGGAGGAGCAGAGCAGCCAGAAGGAGCAGAGCGAGCCCTCGGGCGAGGTGTCCGTGCCCTCCTCCGCGTGTGCCTTGCTCTCCACTTGTGCTTCACCCCTGGGCTCTGCCCTTGGGTGTCTTGGCTGAGGAATGTGGGTTTGTTTGTAACGTTTTCTCAGGGGTCCTTCACCCCAGAGGCTTTTTCCTTGCGTTTTTGCGTTCTCTTGTTTCAGGCATCAGGAGGGAAGACGACGTCGGAGCCAGGCTTTGTGTCAGAGGGCAAATGTTTTGTTGAATGCACGAGTAAAGCACCTCTGTGTGTCAGGACACAGTCCTGCTCCTGGTGTGGAGCTGATGGCAGAATTTGGGTATCAGCTAAATGAGGATGAGATCTTGCTTTTAGAGCGAACACTCTCCCTCCCTATGCCTTTCTTTCTCTTTTTTTCCCCCTTCTCCTCTTGCCCCTCAGTTTTGCACAGTGTCAGTCCCACTTGCTTCAGTCAGGGCAGTGTTGTGAAATGGAAGTTACGCCATGCAGTGAGCCTTGGAATGCCACAGAGCTCTGGAGCATGGGGATATGCTGCTACATGGAACAGCTCAGTGCACCAGGGACACCTGCTAACCAAGGCTGCTCTTCCCAAAGAGCTGGGAATGCCCCCTGTGAGCTGCACCCAGTCCTGCACCCATGGACCTTGTTCTCAAGCTGAAAAGAGCTGCAGGTTTTGGGTTTATTTTATTTCATTCATTTCCCTCACTCATCTCCTAGCTTGTGTACCTGATGCTTTTAAACTTCAATTTCCTGAAAACCACCCAAACTGGGAGAGCTCCCCAGGATGGAAAATGTTGGTGGAGGGTTTTTAGACTAAGGAAAGCTACAGAACACAAGATCACAACTTGATCTTTTGATTTATTTTTTTAAGGCTTTCATTTTTAATTTTATTTTACGACTGTAATTTTTATGCATGTGCTGATGCTGCTATTTTATCCATAGATTGCTTCTAAACTTGGTATTAGAAGCTTCATCTCTACAGTTTGACAACAGGTGAGAGATTGCACTTAAAAAGGAAATGCAGCCATTTCCATGGCTCTTGACTGAATAGACTTGTGTGGATAATCTGGAATTCCACTCTTGCATTCAGAGAGTAAAAACCAGTGACATCAATTCATCAAAGTATATGTCATTATTTTCCCTTGAGCTTGGGGACCTTATGGGGTCTGAACATGCCCTTGGGAAGCCAATGGGATTGGAATCTTATTTTATAGCACTTAAATAAAGGAGAGGATTACATTTGGTTCCTACACAAGCATCTTACTGTCTTTTTTTTTTTTTTAGATTTAATCCTGAGGACTTTGTTCCTTAATTTTTTGTGCAAGGAGATACCTGTACAAGGGTTGTTGGTAGTGACTGGTGTATACTGGTGTTCCTCTTCTGTTTGCTGTGATCTATCTTGGTGGTTCCCAATGTTTTCATAGCTGGGCTTTGCTGCCAGTGCCTTCTGCCTGTCCGCAGCCTGTCACCTCCCCTTGCTCATCCTCAGCCACCTCGGTGGGATGCCCAGCAGTCACATCTCACCTGTAAATATTGGCAAACTGGGAAATAATATTGCATCTAATGGATTTCACTGAGGAGACCTTTAATATTTAAAGCTGGCAATGATGTTGGATCCTGGAAAGGTTACTGCTGTGGGCCTGAGCTCTGCACTGCTGCATCCAGGTGCTAAACCCTGCCTGTTTGTGTGTCTGCCTGTGCTCAGCATCCTCCAAGGGACCCTGGTCCTGCACCAGCTGATCCATCCCACTGGGACACTGGACCTTTTGCTGGGATCCTGCTGCCTTGCACTGAAGATTTAAGTACCCAGAGACAGGGAGTGAAAGTGGAGATGGGGACTCAGCAGGTCTGAGGGCACAGGGGGCTCTGCACATGGGAAAGACTGGCCAGGAGGAGGGACAGGCTCTGGATACAACCTGGGCTGTGCTGGGGTGCCACCAGCACCTGCTGCACACCAGGGGCCAAGCTGGACAAACTGTCTTCCAATCTGGGGGGGGAAAAAAGGACTTTCTCCAGCTGGTGTCCCCAGGGCAGGGCCAGGGAGTGGCTTTGGGACAAGGTCACATCTCAGGAAGGCACCTTACCCCTGAGGGAGCACTGATCAGCCTTATCCCTGTGCAGTTCTGAGGTCTAAGCAATGCTTGGGTTGTGCTCAAAGAGCTCTAGGAATGCAGACATGGGGTTAGTTCTTGTATTTTTAATATGTGGTAAGAGTAATTTGCTAATCCAGGCAGCTGGGGTTATTTTATTGATGCCCAAGGGGTGGGAGCTGGCAGGGCAAGGCTGCAGGAGGGCTGTTCTCAGCCTCAGTTAATGCAACCAAACAAATTATAATTTACAAATTAACTCCATGTCGTGTACCTTTAGTGGCAGCTAAAGCATCACTTCAGTTTTGGAGGGGAATGGATGTTTTTTTATCATTATCCCAAAATGTACTTTGAAATATTTGCCCTTTCAGCTGAAAGAAATCCTTCCAGAGCTGTTCCCACAGGTCCAGGAAGCAGCCAGAGTTGTACAGCTGAAAACTTGCATGAAATGAGATGAAAAAGGTGCCCTGGCAGCAAGAGAAACACTCAGAGAGGCAAAAATAGGCTCTACTTCTCACTCAGCTGTAATGAAATCCTTGTTTGGGTGTGTGTTAGAGCAGCTTGGAGCACTGCTGGTCCTGCTCTGAAGAAAGGAAGAGGCTGAAGAGAGTGTTTATTTGAAAATAAACAACTCTGGCAAGGCAGCACTTTTAGCTGTTGAGGAAAAGGATCCTCCTTAGCTGGATGGGTAAATATTTGTCTGCTTCTGTCTGTGATTGAGGGGATGGGGTTCAGTGTGGGCTCCAAGAAGCGAGAAGAGCTGGTGTGGGCACGTTCTGATGCTTTTGTGTGTGCTCTGTATTTTTCCCTTCCAAATCCTCACTTGCCTGTGCTGTTCCTGGAGCACCAGGATGGTCTGAACTGTGTTTGCTGTGCTCTGAGTCCCAGGGAAGGCTCTTCTTTCCCCCAGCACAATAGCACCATTGACTCTGTCAGCTTTTCCAGCTTGGGAATGCTGAAGGACTTTGAGGGGAATTTCTCTTTTGGGGGAAATACAGGAGGTAGATTTCTTTGTCTTGCTCAACTAATGGCTCTAGGCCTTCACTTTGGGGGGTAGTGCTAAGCAAAAATCCTGGCCTAGTCTCCCCTGTCTGGCAAGGAGGAGTTCTCAGTCCATGTCTTTAACCCTTTGGGCAGGAATGTGTTGCCATGAAGGTCACACTTGCAAGTAAATGAGGTTTTCAGCATCAGGGCTGGTGGTGGGAAGGCAAACTTTGTGTCCAGCTGCATCCAGAGGGAGCCCAGCAGGGGACAGTGGAGCTACCCCACACAAAACAAATTGTGGCTCGACAAAACAACTCCCAGGATGGGATTTAATTCCTTTTTTATTGCCAGACTTGCAAGGAGGAGCCAGTGGGGGAAATTTTGTGTTCCTTCAGCACAGCTCTGTGTCCTGAGGGCATCAGCAGCTCTGCCACAGGGGCCAGGGGAGGGTTCCTCCATCTGTGCTGTGTGGCTGGGAGCTCGTTTGCTCTCTCCACCTCAGTGCTTTCCCTGCCCAAAAACACCAGGAGCTTTGTCCCACCAGTCCAGGAGCTTTGTCCCACAGGATCATTTATGGTCTTGGACACCTTCATCCATGATTCCAGGTGCAGAGCCCCCATGTCCAGTGCCTTGGGAGCTGCTCTGTGTTACTGTTCTGCCACAAGCAGAGCTGGTCCTGGTTTGGGATGGGTGATCCCAGCTCTGTGTGGGATGGCACTGGCAGGGGAGGCAGGATCCTTTCTGCCCCAGGGGATGGGGATCTCAGTCAGCATAAGAACTTTTCCAGAGGCAGGAGAGCTGTGCTGGGGGATCCTGCTGGGAGCACCACTGTGTCCAGTGTCCAGCAGGGAGACTGGAAAGCAGATAGTGGAGGTTTTGTGTGTAAATATAACTTAGTTTGGGTGCCAAACTTCCCTGCTTTACCAGGGCACATTTCCAGTGGAGTTTGCTGAGCACAGCAGTGGAAGGGATTCCTTTCTGGCCCAGAGCCTCCCACAGAAGACCATGCTCTGCTCAAGTCCCTCCCAAGCTGAATTAACCTGGATTATCCCATGACCCTGTTGCTCTGAATGCAGCCTTCCATAGGATGAGGGAAGGAAAGCAGCTGGACAGTTGCTGCCTTTCTCCTCCCCTTCCTGAAGAAAAGCCATGTACTGTCAGAGCTGCTGCTCACAGACGCCCAGGCCCTCAGTCAGTAACCACAAGCCATCAATCAAAGCTTTCCAAAAAAACCGTGTAAATTCAAGAAAAAAATAGATTGCAACTTCTGAGGGTGTCATTCAGATCCTCTGTGCCGTATTTTTGCTGCTGTTTCCAATTTCTTGGCCTGTTCTAATTTAAGTCTCTTGTTCCACTCGGTGTTGGATCTCTGACCCTGTGTGTGCTCTGCTATGACTCAAGCATGATGTAAATGCACTCAGAACTGTAACAGCACGTGGCTGTTACACTGTAAATATGTACCATGAAGAGAGAGGCTATTTTTTGCATGCTTTTGTACTGTAGAACTGAGGAGAAAATGACAATAAAGTCCACAGAGATGACACTGGGTCTAAGTGCAGTTCCTGAAGCAGGGCTGGGTGATGCTCTCGTGTTCTCTCTGCTGCTTAAACCTTCTCTGTGCTTTTAGCTACAGCAGAGAGGGGCTTGGAGGCCTTCCTTTCATCCCCCTTTCCCTCTTGGGCTTTTCCTGGATGAAGAGGCTCAGGGACACATCGTGCTCAGGTGACACATCCCCAAACTGTTACAGCCTCCTGCTGCAATGGGGCTGGGGAAGTTTTCATGCCTTAATTCCATTTACTTCCAAAGAAACGTGCAGTTTGCTTTGAAGAGGGGTTGGGGCTGGTCTGGGTTAGAACTCACATGGCTTCGTTGTGGAAATCACAGCAAATCCTGGGTTTTTCTGGTGCCATGGGACAGGACTGGCTGGCTGACCCCACACAGCTCCAGGGACCTTCCTCCAGGACAGGCTTCCAGGGGCACTGCACTCCTCTTGTTCTTGTATTACCAAAAAGGAAAAAAAAAAGGTGAAGGTATCTGCTTTTATTCCCTGTCGTTGTTGGAGAGCTGGGAGAGCTGGGGGTGTTCACCCAGAGAAGAGAAGGCTCCAGGGAGACCTGAGAGCCCCTTCCAGGGCATAAAGGGGCTCCAGGAGAGCTGGAGAGGGACTGGGGACAAGGGATGGAGGGACAGGACAAGGGGGAGTGGCTTCAAACTGACAGAGTGCAGGGTTAGTTGGGATATTGGGAAGAAATTCTTCCCTGTGAGGGTGGTGAGACCCTGGCACAGGTTGCCCAGAGAAAACTCTGGCTACCCCATCCCTGGAGATGTTTGGGGCCAGATTGGACAAGGCTTGGAGCAACCTGGGCTAGTGGAAGGTGTCCCTGCCCATGGCAGGGGGTGGAACAAGATGGGCTTTAAGGTCCCTTCCCACCCAAACCATGCTGGGATTGTGTGTTCTGCCCAAACACACAGTGATCCCAATAACTGTTGGTGCCAAAACCACCTGTTAATTGGGGGCTGTACAAATTGCTGGCAACCACCACCACAAAAGGAAGGAAAACAGCTCCCTAAGAGGGACCAGCAGAGGCTCAGGTGGGAAATGGGGACATGGAGGGCACCTTACTGAACAAGCATTTCCCTGGGTTAATGCTGTTTTTTCCCACTCCAGGTGGATCCATACCCCACTATTTTGTCAGGGGGGAAATAAAATACTGAAGGCATCTAATTGCTGGTTCCCCAGGGATGCAGTGTCCTGGTGGGGTCACATCAGTGTCACCACTGCACATCCAGCCCCGAGACACAGTCAGTGACGTGCCCCACAGGGCCACTTAATGCCCCCTGAGGTTTGTGGTCATTTAGGATCTTGCTGGGGACTCGATTTGGGATTGGATCCAGCCAGGTAAGTGGCTTGGAAAGCTGCTCCCCCCTCATTTTCTTGCAAATCAAAATGGATTTCTTGAGCAGTAAATTATAATTTCGTGCTTATTATAATATTCATTAAGAGCTGCCATCTGCTGTAGCATTATACCAAATACTAATTATTGGAAATTAAGGTGACAGGAGGGAATAATACCCTGAATTGTGGAAGTGGGAGTAATAAGAGCCCAGGAGGGATAAGCAGGCAAAGCAGTGGGAGAATTTCCTTTCAGGTGGGAAAGCAGAGGTAATAAAATCCCCAGGAGCAGGGGAGCTGGAGGCACAGCTGCCTGGGCAAGGGGCACACAGGGGGTGTGGGTGCAGGGGAGCTGCTGGGGTCCAAAGTGTTCAGTTTTGGGGCAGGATCCATCCAGGGAAATGGCCTCCAAAGACTCCATCTTACCTTGATGTTATTCCTCTAATTTTTTACTTAGTTTATTATGATTTTTTTTCCCTCTTCAGGCTGAAATTAAATTTCCTACAATGATTTCGTAGCAGCCCTGGTCTAGTGGAAGGTGTCCCTGCCCATGGCAGGGAGATTGGAGTGGATGATCTTTGAGGTCCCTTCCAAGCCAAACCCAACTGCAGCGTGGGCAGGATGAGTGCAGGGCAGGAGGAATGGCCAGGGAAGGAGCCAAAGCCATACAGGGCTGTGTGAGAGACATAATTTTTCCTGTCCCCAGCAAAGGGGAATCATAAACTTCACCCTTTATGGTTTTCCATGCTGCTCCACATCGAGCACAGCTGCCTCCAAGGCTTCCCTCCAGCAGAACCCCTTTAATCCCATTCCCTCTTTCCTGTGGCTCAATTAGGGGGGAAAAAAAAATTAATCTTATTTATGAAAGTGATTCCTTTGTTGCCAAACATTTCCATGTTTTTTTTCTTTTCTTCTCCTTGAGCAGGAAAAAGCATTTAGAGTGTTCTCCTCTAAAGCAGTTTCCAGGGAGGTCCAGCAAACAGGGCCAGGAGCCATCAGCAGCCAAGCCCCCACCGAGTTTCCTCGCTTGAGCAAATCACTGGTTTGCCACTAATGGGAGCTGAATGCCCATTTTCTGTGCCCCATTTATTTTATTGCCAGCTCTGGGGGGCAGGGGGAGGCGGCCCCGGGGGCAGCTCTCCGGAAATCCCAGCCGGGGCACTCGGTGTGTTCCCTCCCCCCCGATTTCACGGTGTGTGATGTGCAAACACATTAGGGGCTCGCTGCTGCTCTCACCAGCTGGGATAACTCCCAGCACCCAGCTGTCTCTGCCTCCCTGCCTGTCCGTCTCGATTAGTTTTTGTTTGGAGGTTCCACGTGGTTGTTCAGGAGGGGAGATGCTCTTGCTCAGTCTGTGCCGGCCAAAATCCCCGTGAAAGAAAAATTTTTTGGAATAACGTGGGTTTTTTTTCATCATTATAATGAAAAATTATCGTTTTCCCCCGTCCTGTTGGTCACTCCAGCCCTGCTGGGGGATGGGGATGGGAATGGGAGCCCCTGGGATGGCAAAGGCAGGAGCTGACCCACTGCCAGCTTGAGGTGAAGCAATTAAAGTGTGTGGCTGCCACCAGCATTTCCTGCCTGTAATTAAAGCTTTTAATGAGGAGGCATATGGTAACCCCCCCCTCCCCCAGCCCCAGGCTGGCGTTTTTCCAGGTGTGGGTTCATTAACGGCTGCTAATTACACCATCACTCAGTGTCTAAGTCAAGGAGGGCTGCATTGCCCAGCCCTGAGTGCTCCAACAGGCTGTGAAAGCTGCCAGAAGTATTCTTGGGTTTATTCTTCTCTTTCCCCCTTATACTGAGTACTGAACCCCAGGGGTCTGCAGGGCATTTTGGGGACACCACCATCCCTGGGACACAGTGCTGGCCCCTACCCTGTTTCACCTGACCTGCTGCAAATCCAGCTGCAAATGCTTTTATTCCTTGGGGCGGGTTGTGCTGGAAGCCTGATAGTCCCGGTAGCCACTGGGGCTCAAAGCTGTTCCCCACCCAAAGGTGGATCCAGCTGCCAGGACACAGCCAGCCCCATGGAGTTTTGGGGCTCCTGCATGTCCCTGGATCAGGACTGTGTGTTATCCTGTAGGAAAACCAGTGGCTTTGTTCCCCTCAGACCCCAGCTCTGCTAAGGGGGTTTCCTTGGAGGAAGAGCCCAACAATGAGGCTGTTTCCCCTGCAAATGGCTCTTGGTAACATTTTAACAACAGCTGGTTGTGTTTCTTACCTCGGGTGTTACAAAGCACCTCATTCCCAGCCTGGTGCTCTGAATCTTCCGGCTCTGCACAAGCAGGGAGAGAAAAGGAGCATTAAAATCATCCAGGTGGAAGTTCTCCCCTTCCTTTCCAAGCCAGCCCCAGGTACTGCTCCTGCAACAACCTGGTGCCAGCTGTCCCTGCTGCCTTGTGCCTGTGCTGCTGCCACTGATGGGATGTGTGCCATGGGCACTGCTGCTCCAGCACTCTGGATCTGCCTCTGGAGGGATGGGAGCCTGTGGAGAGCGGGACAACGGCAGACAGGAGGATGGATCCGAGGTATGTGGGGC